GGAAGGTGAGGGGGTGGCTCAGAGCCTGGAGTATTACCTGGGTAATAGATGATGAGGGCCAAATCTGGGGGCGCAGAGGGAGGCAGAATCAGGTAGCACCTGTCCTTCCATTCCCCGCTTTAGTGCCAAGGACACAGCAAGCAGAGAATAAAGTTTCCACTCTAGTGAGGCTCCACAGGTGTCTAGAGAGCTTTCCTGTCACTCAAGACTCATGTCACGAGGTGAATGACACTCTTTCCTCATTTTCAGGGTACAGCGCACCCTCTGGATTAAACCTTTTTGTCCCCATTCAATCTATACCTTTTCTTATTCATTCTTGTCTCCCCACTCCCAAAACACCAAGAAAGCGGAACCAAATGAATCATAGAGTTCTTTTAATGGAATCAGAGTCTGAAGGAGAATATCGGGGTGGAACCAAAGAGAGAATGCTCTGAGTCACCAGCCACCCTCAGGAGATCACACGCAAGGTGGATCAGAAAGGCTGGGAGGGAGGGTGAGAGGTAGAGTGGCCAGCAACTGTTCAGTGCAGGGATGTCTGACAGAATCTCAGAGGCTCTGTGATGAACTCTGTTTCCAAGATCTTGAGGATACTCCTGCAAAGATGGTGGTCAAAACCAAAATGAAAGCTGCTGAGATTCTTATTCAGCTAGTAATCATGTTCTTCCATGGCACTGCCAGAGAGGGCTGCTTGGACATTAGAGTGCAGTACAGAGTGGTATTTCCAGGCTTAACTCCCTCAGCAAGGAGGGCTTTCACCAGTGTTGGGAAAGAAAGGAAGACTATAATCTAAGCTGCAAATGCCCAAGATAGGGTGGGGAGTTGGGTGGTATATAACTGAGATTCAGCTCCTGTCATCTTAGTTTGTTAACTTTACAAACATATAGTACTTGTCATGTGCCCGGCATATTTAAAGCATTTTATAATGCATTCAATTCTTATAACAATCCCATAAGGCAAGGACCTTAACCCTTTTTGCAGAAGAGGAATCTGAGATAATGAAGCAATCTGGCCTAGGAGATTTGGGAGAATCCAGGTTTGATCCCAAGAAGTTTGACTACAGAGTACAAAGTTTGAACTCCTATCCTATGTCACTCTTTATTATGGTTTCCAGTCTAAGACTCTGGTACCCCTACACAAAGAAAGATCAGATCAATTCATTTCTAAAGTTGCACCCACTTTAGATTCTCAAACTCTGTGTAACTCAATGGAATCAGTAAGTGGTTAGGACGTAGGCTGTGAGTTTTCAGTGGGCTGTTAAATATGCCTTTGGTGTGAGACCAAGTTCTAGTATTAGTTTCCACCATGCTGACAGTGAATCGGGTGGATCTGTGACGCATTGTAGGGCCCCAGATCTTCACATAAGGGACTTAGAATTGATACCAGTTTGCAAACTCTGATTAGATTGTGAAAACAGTGCTCAATCTAAGTAAAGAAAGGTGAGATGGGGAAGTAATCATGAAGAGTTGGGCTGCAGGGTGCGATGATTCAGTGAGATAAGAATAGGAGAAAAAGCTTAGCCCTGAACACTGGCCTTAGGAGATGCCTAGAGCCTTCAGTTTCCTGAGCAAGGCAGATTATTAGTTGGTAGCAATGGAGTTACTGGAATTGAAGAAATATAACCTTTCTAGTGACCCAAATGAAAGAGCCTGCATGATAATACAATCTCAAATCTTCTACTTTGTTAGTCATTCCATAGGAAAAGGCCAAATTCACATTACAGATTCCCTGGTGGGAAGACAGCAGATGTAATGAAATGAACACTGGTCTGGTGTTAGGACATCCAGGTTTTAACCCTGGATTTGCTTCTAACAAAGTGAATGGCATTATGTGAGTTGTATTCCTCCTTGGTCTCAGTTTGCCTGTAATGACAGTGACTTTTTATTGAGTATTTGCCATGCCAGGCTTTGTTCTCAGGGCTTGACACATATTGCCATATCTAATTCTTGGAGAAGTTTCGTAGACACTGTAATTATTGCTGTAACCCAAAGGAAACAAATAGAGCTCAGGGAAGTTAAATAACTTATGTTAGAAATTTGTCCCAGAGAGTTTCACCACCCCCTATGATTAGTTATTTGTGCAAAGATGGCCCTTCCAAAAGCAGCTAGTGACTTTGGTAAGCAAAGACTCTAGATTGAGGCAATGTTTTATCGTACATTTCTTTCAGTGAAGTGTGGTGGCTTCCACCAACCCCTCTAGATGCTCAGCTTTGGGACTGCAGGGCATCATCACTGTCTTCCTAGTGATACGCACAGTAGGTCTTCAGTGACTATTTGTTGAGTGAACATATAGAAGAATAATTGAACTCAGCAGAGCAAAGAGGCAGATGAAGTGGTGGGAAATATAAAGAGGCTGAATGGAATGAGCTCGGTAGAGTGTGACCTGGTCCAGTCTGGAAGCTGAAGAACTTCACTAAGAGTCAAGGTTTTGACTTTCAGTTTAAAATCTGCAATGTGGCACATGATCTCTTTGTAACACATAAGACATATTTTGGTCTCGCCATTTGAAAATGTCTGCTGAAGCTTGCTTTCCAAAGTCTGGTTGCTATAGAAGAGCTTTGAGATCTGAGCCCAGTATCACCAACTCAGGGAGGCTTCAGCAAGCCCATTACTTCTCTGGGTTGGCGTTTCCTCCTTTATCCCATTGGGATTTGGATAAGCTCCATACCTGTAGAGCCTACAGTAGAACTTTTCTTCCTTTACAGGCAACTTGTTAAGCTTCAGTCTTTTTTTGCCACCTGTTGCCGAAGCTTACCTGTCCCATGTCCTATGTACTGAGGATTCTGTTCTCAGCCAGTGATATTTATCATTAGTTATTCTGATGACTGACTACACCTGCTGGTGTGTTCTCAGGTATTTGTATGCCTTGTCTTCATAAAATATTCACAGTTTACCATGTCCTTGAAGACATCATTAATGATGGGACTTTTGACCACTTAATAGGTTTGTGGGAGAAAGATTGCTAATTACAGATGACAGGGGACAAAAACACTACCTTGTTCTTCATCTCATTTGATTCTCACTTGGGTGGGTCCTGTCACTAGCAAGTGCAGGTGCTTTGGTACTGTAGGAAGAGGTTTGGGAAGAGACTTGTGTGATCCCAGCTTTTCCAGTACCTGCGGGACCTCTTCCTCACTTTCTTCTTCTTATATGAGAGTAGATTGACCAGATCATTCTAGGGCTTCTCTGGCTTCAGCCTTTTACAAATCTAGATGTGCTGGGCTTTGTTCTACAGAGAACAGATGCAGCTTACGTGGTTCACACCGTTTGGACTCCATGACATTCATATATAGTTTCCCTAAGTGGCATTTGCTGTACATGTGTTGTCAGTCTATCCTGAGACAGGCAGTGAGAAGCTGTTATTTTATTGTTATTATTATTCTCGAATTACTGACAATAACAAAGAAATTCAGAATGATTAAATGAATTATAAAAGGGCAGTTCCTGTAATTGGGCAGAATGGTGTATCTGGGATTTTAATGGAATACTGGAACCCTGCTTGTACGGCTCATAGAGTTTCTCAGGAGTTGTTGGTCTGGTTTTTCTTGGGCTCCCTGGGGTTCAGGGCCAGATTGACTCCCAGAGAGTTGCAGCTGAGTTCAGGAATGACTGCCTTTTGGGAGGGCAGGGTTACCCATCCCCCACAGGTCCGATGTCCTAAGATCCTGGACCTCCTCCCCCTCCCCACCTCACTGGCTAGTTTGACAGGCAGCACTCTGCACTGGGTGTTCTCTGTTTCACCCTCCAAATCCATTCTCATCCATTTTTTCCCCAGGATCTCCAGGAGGCTGACCTTGGATATCAGTAGATTCACTTGTCTCCTGGCTCCTGGGTAGAGTCAACCCAGCACTAAGCAGGTGATTATAAGGTAGTACAGGGGAGAAGTATGCTTATTTCTTCCCCTAGCTCCCTCTTTGCTGGCTSCAGGTTGTTCAGTGGCTGTTTCCTCTGCTGAAGTCCGTAGCTGCGATTAGGCAGCCCTCTCTTAAGCTTACCAGCACTTTCCAGGTTCTAGAAAAGGCCACGGCCTTCATGCTTTCAGGCCAAGGGCTGTAAAAGCTCCTACTTGTAAGCCTCAGGGTGTGTGTGTTACCATCTCTTGTTTTTCCTTATCCCTGCCTGCAGCTTTGTAAATTATCTAGTTTATCTCACTTCCCATTGAGTGTGCCCTCTGCTTCTTGCCAGGATCAAGATCAATACAACCTGTTTCATTCTTTCTTGTTTCCAGTCTTCCATTTCTTAAGAGTGTTTATGACCCCGTGCTTTTAATATGAAGGGCTGTAGATACTTCTCCTTGCAATGTTTAACCAAGAATTAGACCAAGCTAGAGGAAGAAGCAAAAGGTTATGGCTTCATGGCAGGGGAGAGAGTGGGGTGATAATAAAGGGCACTGAACTTGGACCTCCACATTGAAGACTCAGGCGGACCACTTGCTGTCAATATCATCTTGCCAAGCTACTTTTCACTAAAAAAAAAAAATTAAGAAGAGTTTATGACTTATCTTCCCCATAAGCTTCTTGGGAAGACCAAACGAGGCAAGGCCATATGAAGTATTCTGTAAATGCTGAAACATTTTCTTAGCATTAAGTGTTTCTGTTGTTGTTTTTTTGTTGTGTGTGCATTCAGACAAAATCCTCAAGAGGCCATGCACTGCATTTTCCAATGTACTCAGATTTCYCCATCACCTCTGGGCCTCCTGGATCAGGAGAACTGGCATTTGTGGAATCYAAGATTAATGTCCAGAGAGGGTTGGCTAAGCATGGGCCCACATGGCGTAGCTAAAAATACTCTTAACCTCAGTGGGAGCATCTCAGTCCCTAAAGGGGGTGGGCCTGGAGGATAGAGGGTATGTGGGGGGAATGACCTCCATCAGCTAGGAGAGGACAGGGAGAAGGTGGCTGACACCAGAGCCTCCTTTCCAAGTGCCAGTTAGTGCAGTGGCTGATTACTCTCTGTCGGTCTTCTGTGCTTTGCAGCGGCAGGTGGGGTGGGAGGAGGCTGACCTGAACCTTTTGTACTTTTCTGTTGGAGTGAAGCCTATGCCTTAAAGCTCTTCCTCATGGCCAGAACTCTTAGGAATTTTCCCTGTCAGTGGAGATGATAGACACTTAGAGTCAGAAGGAGGTAAGAAGGATGTAATCCTAGGATCTTGACTTGGAGTTGATGGTAGAGGCTGACTTTAGCCCAGGGAAGCAGAATCTAATCCAAGAGCCTGGATTTACTATCTCTGGGGCTGGGGAGAGGCAGGCTCACTGTCTCCCTATCTTAAAACCCAGTGATTTGCAAACTATAAGTCTTAGAGCTCCAGACCCTTGCTACTAAAAATTTGGTCCATGGATCAGTGGCATAGACATCAGCTAGGAACTTATAAGAAATGCAAGGTTTCAGGTCTCCTCCTAGATCTCTAAGTTGGAACCTGCATTTAACTCAGTCCACTATGCATTAAAGTTTGAGAAGCACTGTTTTAGGATCCTTCTGAAATCCCTAAGGGGATCCACAATGGGTGGGCTCCAATTGTACCTATGAGGTCTTATAAATGATTACATTTGAAAAAAATGGTTCCAATTGCATTTAGAAAAAGATTTTAAAAATTGAAACCAATGTTGTCTTTTCCTTTTTTATCTTATAGAACGAAATTCTGCTGACAATAGGACCCTATCTCTCCTTCTGGGGCCAGGTGTCACACTGCCCTGCCCTGTCCAAGCCTTCCTCGACTGAGTCCTGAGTCCTTCATGTCCTGCACATGTTTGGTGCAGGGAAGAGACTGCTCCATCAAGGAAGGGCAATGTTAGGAGATTCGTGGGACCTCGGATTAGTTCTCAAACCTTGTCATTCCCAGCTCTGAAGATCCCACTTTGACAGTGGTAACTGGTGAGATGCTAATGATATGAAAGGAGTCTGTCACGACCTGGGAGTTTAGAACTCAGCTTGATTCTCACAAAGGGGAGGGTAGAAGGGTGCKGCGCTTCCTTCTCCGTAGGTGGAATTATGCAGGGAGCTTAGTGTTTGTTGTATGAGGAACATCCTGGCAGGATCGGAAGGAGCGCCAGGAGCTGAGAAGAGATAAGCCTGCTTCCAGCTGGGATCTGGGCACAGCCCGGTGGCAGCAGGTTTTCAGGATTTCCAGAGGGAGTGCTTGGCGGCAGCAGCAGTGTCTTTTCAGAGCCACAGTTTTCTGCTATTATAAGTAACTGTGATTTGCATTCCCTTTGCATCCTAACCTGAAGGAGYGCAAAGCATTCACTATTGAATCCCYCAGGAACAACCTTACACAAGTTCCCATAGAGGCAATATTCATGGCTTCTATTCTACAGAAGGGGAAACTGAGGCTCTAAGAGGTCATGCAAGGGTGCCACCTCCATCTGGCATGAACCAGGACTAGAAAACTCTGGGAAGAATCAAGTGCCTGACATAGCCTCAGGGTCTAGCCCCAAACTCTTACTGGCCTGAACTGCAGCTTCTTCTCACCCTGCAATCTCCTCTACCCAGAGCATCCTCCCCTGCCTGCCTAGGATACTTTGGACCCTCTCCTTATGTGGATATGTTCCCTTCTCTACTATTCTACCTCTATGTCTCCAGATACGTATCTCTGCTTTTCCCTGTGACACAACAGTCTTCCTTTGATTGGAGTTATCTAATAGTATGCTCCTTGGCCACCTGTCTACTTTTTAAAACTTTGAAGACTGGGGTACAGTTCAGCCTCTTGGATCCCAGCACAGTGCTGTCCTAGGAAMATTCTTGGGCAATGATGAATCCACAGAAGACTAAAACATGAGCTAGTGGAAGAAGCAGAGAGATTCTGCATTTATAGATTCTCATGGGTGAAAGGGTCATGTCATTCAACAGTTCTGATCCTATGGAGGGTGGAGGGGCCCATTCTAAAAAGATTTGGAGCAGAAGCTGCAGTTCCCCATGAAAAATAATGAATCGTCATGCTAGTTTACTGCTGTGATTTAGAGAGGTCTTGRGAGTCACAACCAGGCACAAGTTTCTGACCCAACATACTTGCTTTTTCCCCGAATAACCTGTAAATATGAGAATACTGAGAYAATTAATCTCTCAGAATTTTTTGGAGATTAAATAAGGGGAGGTGCATGCTAAATGTTTGCCCGAGAGGTGGCACCTTAAAAGCCTTTCCTGTGTGTCAGCTACCTGTTCCTAGCTCCTAGGAGAATTCATCCTTTCTTTTTGTCCTGGAGCTAAATAATGCCTGAGAATGAGAGAAGAGTGACAGGAATCCCCAAAGTTGGAACTGAGACTTTCCTTTTGGGATATTAACGCTCTGGATCTTTGGAAATGATTATCTAGCCAACGCTTCTTTAGTTCCAATTATGTAATTATTCACTAGTAAGTCAGGAGCCAAGTGAGTCGGCCCCTGGGCCATGGTCTCCACCCTAAACAACTTCTGTTTAGAAAGCCGAGGTCCTGGGGTAGAAAGAACACTGTTGTGGGATCCTCAGAACCTGGGCTTATTTTCTGCCTTACCTGGTGATCATTTATCCCCTCTTGGGAATTTGGCTTCGGCTTCCTCATCTGTCAAATGAGGGTACTAGGGTAGATGCCTCACAAAGTCCATCATGCTAGTTTGTTGTGGAAAACCAGGGCCTCCACAGCCTCTGCTCTCCAGGCACCTCCATTTCTCTTGCTTCTCTCCTATCCTAGGGAATGAGACTGGAAATGAATGAGAACAAGCCTGTCATTTCAATGCTTTTCCTAGTCACTTACCTTTTTCTAGCTGTAAAAACAGCTCAGCAAGTAGATAAGGTAGATGTCCTTCTAATCCCTGTTTTATAAAAGGTACAACTGAAACTCAAAGAGTGCAAGACACCCAAGTGTCTCTACCTTTGCTCAGTAGAGACAGAGCCAGCTTTTACTTTCTCTGCTCTGACTTTTTTTTTTTTTTGCCAGTGACTTTCAGGACTGGTGGTGGTTATAATGCTAGGTTGGTTCCCCAGGTCCAAGTGGAGCCCATTCTTCCTCCTGATTTCCCTTCCTTTGCCCAGGCTCCAGTTGTCTTTGTCCCTCTTGCTTGGCCATCCTGGAAGAATGTGATGCGGTGAAGCCAAGGCCAGATGAATTGACTAAGAGAAGTCTGCCCAGGGCTCCGCCTCAATCCCTCCTCCTCTTCCTCCCCCACCCTGTGCTAAAGTCCTTGTTCAGGTTTCACCTTCTGAGCAAACTTGCATGTGAGAGCCTGGATTGTTCTCTGGGGATGCAGATGAAGAGCTGAGGACAGAGACAGTGCCCCAGGGCAACCTAGGCCAAGTGTGACAGTGAGACTTCTGAGCTGCATGGTTGACCTGCTCTGATAGGTTGAAGACAAGTAATTGGGCAGAAAGTCATGCACCAGGAAGATAAAAAGATAACTTCCAAAGAGGGGGCAGGGAAAGCGAGTGAGACCTACAATGAAAACAGGTGTATGAGATACCGGAGAGARTTAGTCAAGGAGATTTGGAAGAATTTCAGCATTTCTGATTATTTCTCACGCTCTTTTCTTCCCTCCATTTTTACCGCCTCCGCCCTCTCACATCTCACTCAGGTAGTTGCAATAACCTCCCAACTGGCCTCCCTTCCCCAGTCTCCTCCTGCTCCATTCCACCCCACCTGGAGCCCAACCTTCCTRTTCTGTGCTCCAGTCTGTGCATGTAGCTCTACAGCCTGGGTGAACTACTCACCCTTCCTTCTCCTGTACTTTTCCATCTCCAGTCTTTGCTTGTATGTTTTCCCCTCTGCTCAATTCTTCTAGCCCAGCAAGTGCAAAATTTAAGGCCCACTTTCAAGTGACAGCTCCCCTGTGACATCTTTCCTGAACCTCCCCTCCCCTTCCCTCCCAGGGTAGCGACCTCTTCCCACAGAGTATATGTAATATGGGATTGTTTGGCCTCCTCTTTTAGGGCTTTTATTGCCATTTGCCTGGTATTGTTGTTGTAACTATTTCTCTGTGTGTCTCCCTCCCTAGCTACACGAGGATGGAGGATTGCCTTGCATTTGGGGAAGTGAACACTCTCAAGTTTGTATTCCCCACTGTCTGAACTGCCAATGAGTTATTTGATGAATTAATAAAGATATAAATAAAGGAGTACTTGTTGGGACAGGAAACAGGACAGCTCCAGCATCTGAGCTTCAAATAAGGTTAACTATAAATCTCAAATTAATCTGATTGGGGTACACAGTTGAGGGAATGCAAATAAATACATTCAAAGAATGGTGGATCAGAAAGAAAAAAAGCCCAGCAAGGGAGTGCAACCCAGGGGACCTAGAAAATAGGTAAAAGGGAAATGATGGTGTTTATTTTATGCTTGGTAACAGGAGAAGTCAACAGGAGCTGCAAGAAGCTTCTTGGGGTGGGACCAAATGAATCATAAAGCTTCCATTTAACCCTTAAACAGCTCGTGCATCTTCTCCAAGGCAGGAACCTAGGAAAGAAAAGTGTCTGGCACCCTAGTGGGCCCTAGGAATTACTGAATCCATTACTGAAACCTGTTCATATTTAGTATTTGCCTTGAGCTAGGCCAGGGAAGTCTGTTAACATGGTCACATCACCGTCCTTGCCCCCAGAAGTTCAAAGTCTACCTGGATGACAGTGTTCCAAACAATCCTGACCAAGCCCTACTGTCGACTGTGCCTTTGAGATGTATAAGATATGAGTGATATGGAAGAGGCCACAAGAATTCCAAATGGGGTGCCAGAGCAAGGACAAATGAGGGAAGACTCATGGAGAACACGTCTTAGAATCAGAACTTCAAGAGTTTGCCTGACTCCCACCAGTCTCCAGAGGTGGTCTGTGAGGAGCCATAACAATGCGAGCTCATCTTTCTTAAGACTACTGAGCATCCAGTGACCAGTGTCTATCTATTAGAATGATGAGTGTGTGTGTGTGTGTGTGTGTGTGTGTGTGTGTGTGTATTGCATAGGAAGGCCAAAAAGAATTATGACATGGAAAACCAAACTGAAAATGGAAAGCAATCATCCTTCGCCCAAACTCAGCCCTGCGTGTGCAAGTGAAATGCAGTGGGGTGGGGGGTGAATCCCTAAGGAGGAGGGGGTTGGATAGGGAGTCCTTTCTTGGTTACTCCTTGGCTTAGGAAACTTGAAGTCTAAAAAGAATGTGAGGAAGGAGGGCCTTTGTTCTTTTGGTGGACCTTATTCAAGCATCCCCTCATCTGCATAGGTAAATGGGAGAGGTCAGCAATGCAGGGCGAGGGAGGCAGCTGTGGCCCTGCAGCTGCGGTGGAAGGGCTGCAGTGGCAGTGGCGGGGAGTCCCCCAGGCTGCTCTGGGCTGCAGCACCCTCACTGGGGATGGGTGCAAGAGAAGAGGGAACGGGAATGGAAGGGAGGAAGAGATTGGGTCCAAGGGGAAGGGGTCCTAGGTGTCATCTTTGCCATCCCTACTATTTTACATACAGGGAAATCCAAGTGAAGAGGAGCAATGTCCCTTGACTTGAGGGCTAGTAGTGTGTTCTTTGTCTTTGCAAAGCTGGCGTGACGGGGAGGTGGAAAGGGACAGAAACGTAGAGGTCCAGAAACTAGAGGTGAAGGGCCCCAGGCACCCCACCAGACAGGCGGGTGCTCCTTCTTGGAAGCTGTTCTCTGCAGGTCTACTTTGGTCTTTCGTTCTCTCAAACTCAAACTAACCATTCTCTAGGGACACAGGAAGTTTAGGAAAATCATGTCTTCTGCAAAGCTTTCACAATTCCCATGAAATTTACAAAYTGCCCTTGTCATTGTTGCATGGTCAGTGGAATCCTTTACGATTTTCATTCAGTGTTACTTTTGTAAGTGGAGACTTCATAGTCTAATCCTTTCTGAAGGCTTTGGATGGCAAAAAGGATGGGCATTAGGAAATTATTCCTCAAATTTTACTTTGTGCTTTTGAAGGGATTAGGCTCAATTTTATTTTAGGTTAGTAAGAGGCTAAACTGAGGCATCTGTGCTCTCTTGGGAAGAACATCCAACTTGACATCAGGTTACCTGGGCTCAAAGGTCAGCTCTGCTATTTCCAAGTCTTTTTTTTTTTCACTTTGGTCAAGTCAATTTTTCTCTGAGCTTTCATTTCTTCATCTTTAAAATGGTGACGTTTCAATAACTAAACTAAGGAACCAACCTAGATGTCCTTCAATGGATGAATGGATTAAAAAATGTGGTACATATATAAAATAAAATATTACTCAGCCTTAAAGAAAAATGAAATCATAGCATTTCAAGTAAATGGATGGAGCTAGAGGATATCATGCTAAGCGAAATAAGCCAATTCCCAAAACCAAAGTCCAGATGTTTTCTCTGATAAACACATGCTGATCCATAATGGGGAGGGGGGTGGGGAAGAATGAAGGAACATTGGATTGAGCAGAGGGGAGTCGGGGGAGAGGAGGGGGTGTGGGGTTAGAATGACAGTGGAATGAAACAGACATTATTACCTTATATACATGTATGACTACACTACCTGTGTGACTCTGCACCATGTACAGCCAGAGGAATGAGAAATTGTGCTCCATTTATGTACAATGTGTCAAAATACATTCTACTGTCATGTATAACTAATTAGAACAAATTTTAAAAAAAGAAAACATAAAGGCACAGAAAGGTTGAAAGCACTATTAAAAAAATGGGGATGTTAACAAATAAAAAAAAATTTAAAAAGGACATCCTCCCCCACAAAATGGGGCGTTAATAATAAAATCCTTAACAAGATGGTGAAATCCCCTGCCCCTGACAGAGATTCTTCTTCTTTTCTTTTTAAATGTTTTCTATTTGGCAATGGAACTTTGTTTTATTTATTTACATGTGGTGCTGAGAATCGAACCCAGTGCCTCACACATGCTAGGCAAGTGCTCTACCACTGAGCCACTACTCCAGCCCCCCGCSCCCCCGCAGAGCTTCTGACACAAATTAAAGGGAATCATACGTATAGAAGAGTTTGGCACAGAGCCTGGTATGTAGTAGCTGCTTCGTAAATTATGAGGTTAGATTTCTCACAGCCCTGGAACCCTAGAGAGCCAACTCAGTCTTAGAGGTGGTATCTACCAGTCAGGAGACCTTGGGAGCCTTGAGCCAATGATGTGGTCTCCCTTGCCCAGTTTACCTCCTTCTACACAAGTGCCTGCGGCCCCTCCCATGTTTCATGATTCTTTATGGGGTTTCCATAGACAGAAAACACCTTTGCTTATGTAAATCACATTYGTGTAGAGACAAGAACAAGGCCACTGGCCCTCCACACATCTGGGGAATGGCCCTTGTCCGGTGGATTGGTTTCAAGATCGAAAACTAAATTTCTGACTATTCTATTTATTGATTGGTTTCTACTTATTAATCTTTCTCTGGCTATTAGCAAGCAGATTAGCTGAAACAAATGAAAAATTCTGATGAAATCTGTCCTATCTCTAGATAAACCTGTGTTCATAGGAAATGATGGGGGCGAGTCAGTGACCAGTCATCATTTTCAAGGACCTTTCCACTGATGGTGTGCATTCACCTAAAGTGATTGGTATAGCTTCTTTCCAGGGAGGACATATTCCAGGGGATGTCAGAAGAAGTGGGTCTGGGTCTCAGCCCACCACTGCCTAACAAAATCCAAGTCAGAGAATCATGGGCAGAACAAATCATGGACTGATTTTTTTTTTTCAACTCTTTCATTTAATAGTTGTCAGAATGGTGGCCCAGAAATGTGAAATCCTTGATCTGTAAGATACATTTGCTAATTAATGGCCAACATTTTTACACGGACTTCATTAAGTCCCAGAACAACTTAGGTCTCTAGAATCCCAGTTCAACACTTGTTCCTTTAGCCTCCTAAATCTAGAAAGGCCACATAATACTCTTCTTTTGGAAGTCCCCCTCAACAACCACTGGGTAATTCTGATTTCTGTTCATGACATTGCCTTCGACGAATAAGAGTACAAGTTTAAGTTGAATACCGGAAAGGCTGTAAAAATGAAGAGTCTTCATATTTGTTGAGTGGAACCTCAAATACAGAAATTGATTTAGATGGTTATAATAAGGTGGTAGGTTTTGCTGAGACCTAAGGAAGCACTTTTTGACTGGTAGAGCTATCAAAACTGGAATGCTGTGCCCTGGAATGGAGGTGACCAAGTGGATGCCAGATATTTTATGAGGTAGTAGGTTAGATTGGGTGACTCTGAAGGTCCCACATGTCTTAAATAAACCCATATGGAGTTAATGAGAGACTCAGATTTAAATAATCCTTTATGAAACTTGTGAGCATCTGCACCACTGGCCAGTTACTGACTACCTCTCATGCTAATTAAATTTACTATCTAGTATGCAAAGTAGAACTTCCTTTTGTTTGCTCTCAAATTAACTTTGCAAACTTTGGGGTAAGGGAAGGCTGGGATAGTTCTGTTTTTTTTGAGATGTGYTGATTAAATGCATAGTTCCATTCAGCCAAACATTGCTATATACCCTCTCAGCCTGTTCTTTTTTGATTGAGGAAATCTAATTTTGCTAAATCTACATTTATATCAATAAACTTCCATCATATTGATGATTTGAATAGTTTTTCTCTGTCCTTCTCCCACCTCCCCAGCACCACTAAATTTTTTCAAGGCCCTTGAGTAGAACTGCCAGTCCCCCCACCCACCCCCAGCCCACACACTGCAATTATGTGAACAGGGGATCACACCTTTTCTATCTGGCTTCCATATTCTTTCTGATGAAACTCCACATTCCTGTGAGCATTGCAACATCAGCAGCTCCTGGAGTCCAGATCTGTCAGAACCAATTTCAGGATCTGCCCTGCCACTATTAGCTGTGGATGTWGTATAAGCCACTAATTTAATTTTCCCTTGTATAATGGAAAGAGGAATACTTTTTTTAAAATTAAGATACAAAGGCAGCAACAAGAAATAAAAGATGATCCATGTGAGTATTTTATGTGGAACCCATATAGAGACTGCATGTAGTACCTGTTTATAGAAGGGAAACAAACTTAAATGCATTTGTTGAGTTGGAATATGTTAGAGTTGATCATTTGATAAATAGAGATTTGAGTATATTTTGCCTAAAAGAACTGCTTTATATTTGCCCAAACTGAAGTTCACTTGTTACTTTTTT